AGTGTTTTTATCCCTGAAATACCTTCCTGCACTCTGTTTGCTCCTTCAGGTCCTCTCTGTTCCATAGGTGTGACTGTCTCGTGCCCCAGAGCTCTTTGGTTTTGGTGAAATGTCGACAATCCTGAAATGTGAGTGTTTGGTGTGGGCCCAGGGTACCTGCAGGGTTTGTGTGTGCTGGATGCTGCACGCTGCCAATGAACCTTCCCCTGTGCCCTGCTGTAGGGTTTGGACGGGAAGATAAGGAGAAAGAGGAGAAGGACAAGAAAGAGGAGAAGGAAGAGAAGGAGAAGACTGAGGGAGAAAAAGAGAAGGAGAAGCAGAAGAGGAGGAAGAAGGGAGAAGATAAGGTAGGGGAATGATGGAGTTTTCTGCAGAACCATTTTCATCTGTCTGTAAAGTCAGACCCATGGCAAACCCACACCTGTAGCAGATGGTGCTATGCTGTCCACAGCCTAGAAATCAGTGTCCATGGCTTTTCCACTGAGACACAGCTGTCTCTTTGCTCTCAACATTCCCAGTTAGTTCTCCCTCCTTTTTCTCTCCAAATGGGATGCTGGTGTGGACAGAGATGCTGCCTGCATTGTACACACTGTGAAATCCTTGCTCCTGGCTCTGGAGGGCTCCGTGGTGCCGTGGTCACACGTGGCTCCAGAGCAGCACCAGCGGTGCCACACATGGCTCTGGGCACCCACAGGACCAGGAGTCTCTCTGACTTGGAGCTCTGGCTCCAACAGCAGAGTGCCAGGCTTCCCAGTGATGCTTGTCCCTCTCTCTTCACCCCAGCAGGGAGATGGGGAAGAGGACAGGAGTGGCAGCAGCTCTGACTGTGTCTTGGAGGAGGTAACCTCACCCCCAGCTCCGTGCTGGAGCCTGGCTCCCCCTTGCACCCCAGCCCTGGGGGCTTCGCTCCTACAAACCCCAGCGGGGATGCTACCAAATACCTGGGATGGGACACTCAGCACTCCCCTTACATGCTGTCCCTTTTCTTTCTGCTCCTGCCCCAGGACCAAGGCATTGCCAAGGATGATGAGAAGGAAGACAAGGATTAGTCTTCCCGTGCTGGAGCAGCAGTGCACGCCCTGCACACTCCGAGGAGGAGATGGAAACAGCAGCTTGTGCTGGAGGGCGACTGGGCCACTCTTAGCCAAATAAAGATGTTGTGATCTCCAAAGAGAAATGCTATTTATTCACCCAGGCACACTGCCTACCCAGTGCTGTCTGTCCCTCTGCGGAAGGAAACACTCAAGGAAAGGCAATAATCGGATTTGGGGAGCTGGGTGAGCAGGTTTTGTACAAGAACGTGATAGAGTCTGGAGAGAAATGCAGCGGCTCTGCCTGCCTGGCTCTGCATAGTCCCTCCAGATCTGGCATCCCAACATCCTCCCTGTGCCCTCCACGCCGTCTGTTGTGGGATGGAGCAGCGTGATGGGGGCACAGACACCTGGTGCTGTGCTGAGCTGTTAAAACTGATTTCAAATTTATCAGAAACAAACGAAAAGCAGCTTTAGGGGGGAAAAACGCCGACAAACCTCTCTGTTTCTGCAGCACTGACCCCAGCGCAGCGGCCGTGCCTGTTCATCCCCAGCCCCGCCGCAGGGCCGGCATCGGGCGCGGCGCCAGGAAAAAATAAGTAGGAAAAATTAGGAAAAATGAGCTGGCACCGCCATCTACCGGGAATGAGATGTCTGGCACAGGGGCCACCGGTTTCATAATCGCTCGGCTGTTTTGTAAGGCTCCCGCAGCGCTCCGGGGACAGGGAGAGAACACCGGGAACAGGGAGAGAGCACCGGGAACAGGGAGAGAACACCGGGAACAGGGAGAGAACACCGGGGACAGGGAGAGAGCACCGGGAACAGGGAAAACACCGGGAACAGGGAAAACACCGGGAACAGGGAAAACACCGGGAACAGGGAGAGAACACCGGGAACAGGGAAAACACCGGGAACAGGGAGAGAACACCGGGAACAGGGAGAGAACACCGGGAACAGGGAAAACACCGGGAACAGGGAGAGAACACCGGGAACAGGGAGAGAACCCCGGGAACAGGGAGAGAACACCGGGAACAGGGAGAGAACCCCGGGAACAGGGAGCGCTCCGGGGGCCCTGGATGCTGGCAGGGTCCAGCCGGCAGCAGAAGGGACCTCGGATGGGGGACACGGGACCAGCACCCTGACCCATTGCTGCTGCCAGCAGGCAGAATTAGGCCAAGCCCAGAAGTCTCACCATCAATAAAAAGTTCAATGCAAACCTGAGCGTAAGCTCTCCCTGCTGTGTTGCTGCCCTGTTTTGTTCTCCTTAAGAAGTCTATTTTTGTGAGTATTTTCTTGAGTAATGCAGATTTCAGGCAAACTCGAGATTAAAAGTCAACACCGCAGAGGATTTTACTTGAAACCACAGAATGTAGCTTTGGATGTTCTTTCCATGGAACTAATGCAGCCAGCTCTTGTATAAGCACAACAAACAGCAGGAAAGATGCTGAGGAATGTTGTCTTAATTATCCAGCACAAAGATTAAAGGGAAAACATGAAGATGGGAAAAACAAACAACCCCAAAGCTAAACTGGGTTTCAATGAGCTGGTTTGGCTTCAGCAGGGAAAGATTGATTTTAACTGCCTTATTGCTTCATGAACCCTTGGGTGCATTAATGTAAAATAATCCTGTGAGGGGTTATTTTACATATGTTACTTTTCCCTTTGTGCAAGTACACAGGACTCTTGCACAAGACACAAACTACTTCCAAATAGTAGATGGAGCTGCAGAATTTTATAATCCCCTCAGGCCACACTGCTACAGGATGGGAATATCTTGGAATAAATTCTGTGTTTGGACATGAAAAGGAGAGCTTTTGCTTTTCAAGATAAAGGTTGGAAAACTTTCAAGCATGGTGTGCCAGACTCTGATGTCAAGCCTGCCTGTTGATGCTCAGTTGCATCTCAGTGGAGTGGGATTCTGCTTTTCAGCTGACGGGTATTTCATCTAAAAGCCCTGAAATTGTCCTCTGTGCCTTGTGCACCAGCTCCCCAAATGTGTGGAGCCTGCAAATGTCTGTCTGCAGCTGACCCCAGGGCCATGTCCTCACACTGCCCTGGTCTCAGCATCTCCATGTGCTCAGGGCCAGCGCTGGGCACTCTCTGCCGCGCTGGGGGATGGTCAGTGCCAAGCAGGAGAAGCCTTCCTGTCTGCTGCTTGTCTTTTACAGCCCCTGCTTCAGACCACTGCACCAAGCTCTGTGCAAATACAGCATGTGCAGCCAGATCCCCGTGGCACAGGAGCAAAGAGACAAACACACCCAGGGCTGGCTGTGTGAACATCCACCCGTCTCCTCCGGCAGCCGAGCTTCTCCATCCCGCCTTCCACACCTTGCCCTGCACGCAGCTCTCACCCCTCTGCACCCTTGTCCTGCCTTCATAGAACTGGCCAAGTTTCCCCAAAAAGTTGTGGAGGTGAAAACCATTACAAGTTCTCTAATTCCTAATTCCTCGTTGCATCTCAGCCCTGGCTTGGAGCCGGGTGATGAGAATGGGGGTAGAGCACTAACATTCGTGCCAGCCATGGGGATTAGGGCTCTAAAAACACTTAGTGGAGGAGGCAAAAGGCAGGTGGAGCATCTGGCTTTTGGGGATGCTGAGGACCTTCAGTCACAGCAGTTCAGTAGCTCTCCTGAGGGACACATCTCCCAGCATGGGCTCGGTGTGCTGAGATGGGTGTTTGCCCACAGAGGTGACAGCCAGCAGCTGCCCAAGCCCTGCTGGGCCTGAGGTCTGACTTCACCGGGGTGTTTTAACCACCTCCTTTGCTCAAAGCATCTGCAAGGTTCAGCCAGGGGTTCCTCAGAGCTGCTGTGTCTTCAGCTGGCTGGGAGAGGAGCATGGAGCACAGAGCTGGGCCAAATGCCCATCACACCAAGCTCTGGAGGGGCGGAGTAGGAAAAGAAGAACCAACAAGAGAAACTGTCAGCCGTGGAGTTACTTAAGCAAGTCTTGTTTACACAGATTTATATAATAACTTTGGCTGGTCCTCGGGGAGCAGGAGGGGTTGTGCTGCCCTTGCTCACAGTATCTGGGGGTGCCTGAAGGGATCCTGCACAGCACGTGGCTGTCTGGGGCCTCATAGCAGCAGACATGCCAAGAGAGTTTAGGTGTGGAGAAAGAATTGTTTCCTATACCATTTCATGCAGAGATGCCACCAAATAAAGGAGTTTTTCTATAAATGCCAACAATTTCAGAACAGAAAGGTTGGACCTTTATTTTGTGATGAGACTTTTCATCTTGCATCTAGGGGCTTTATATAATAAAGTGTCCTACTAGGGAAACAAGGCTCTCTAAGGTAGAGATCAAAAAGAAATCTTTCCTCTGTTCCCAAGTGACCTTCTTCATGGAAAATTTCAAGCTGCTTTTTCATTCCTCTAAAAAATGGAAACAGTTAAAAATCCTGACTTTCCCAGAAAAGCTGATTCCTGCAGCCCTGCTTATGATCTGCTAATCTCTGCAGAGTACTGGGCAGAGGTTTCCTATGAAACCACTCTTCTTTTTTTGAGCTGAATAAGAAGAAAAGCAAAACCCCAATGGAACTGGAGTCATACAAGTGAAGGGTGTTTTGGAAGGTGAAATCCCTGCTCCTGATTCCTGCACAGCACTCAGACTTGCTCCTCACTCTGCTGCATCCTTCTACAACTTTCCAAATATCTATGAATTAAGAATATTTGCTATGTTAATTATTCTTTCAGAAGAGAAGAGCAGGCTCTTTACTCCTCAAACCTCGCTGCAGCACCTTCCTAAAACCCACAGTGGAATGGTGCCAGGCTTCTGGAGAAGGAAAACCTTCAATTTGCTCTGGCAGATCCACCAGGACAGGTTTCTGGGTGACAAATGTTCCGAGTACTAACAACTTGACCTCTTTAGAAGCCGTGACGTCTGTGTGTTATGAAAGGAGGAGCTGGCGGCGGGGCGATGACTGGCTTACCCAAACATGATTCACCTGCTGTTCAAAGTGCAGCAGAGGTGGAGGCGAGCCAGCCTCTGGAACAAAAAGGCACAGACAGAAATACTTGTCTGCTCCTCGAGCAGAAAGCTTTGCCCGGACCACCACTGCTGCGAACAGGCCAGGAGCCCACAGGCAGCTATTTATAACTGGTAGAGAGACAGGCCTGCTCATCCTGCCTGAAATCCAGCCCAGGATGTGTTGAGGGCTTCATTCTGTCTGCCTGAGGGGAAGGGAACTGCAGGGAGACCCTTAGCAGCCCTCTGCTTTTCTCCCCAAGACGTCAAGGTGCTTCATTCTTCATGTGGTCAGACACAGCTTTTGGATGGAATTTGAGCCACTGGCTTTGCGAGAGCTCTTCTGTCCTCACCAAGAAGGACACACAGTGGTGGTGGAGATGCTGGAGCTGAAGCAATAAGGACCAGGGCAGAGGATGAGGAAGTCAGACCCTGGATCTGGCCTGACAGCCCAGAGGCATCCCTGCACAGCAGGCTCTGCCAACTGCAGCCTCCTCTGGCAAAGTGAAAAGGCAGCGCTGGGTGCCCGCCAGCCCTGCTGGCATCTCTGTCAGGTGGGTGGGAGCTACACAGGAAAAGTGGAAAAAGGAAGAAATGAGGGAGGCAGCACGTACTCGCTTCTTGCTGAAGCAAGGAGCCAAGGCCACTGGAGCTGGTGGGGGAGTGGGGCAGGGCAGCTGGTGAGTCCCCAGTGCAGTGATGGGCCACCACGGTGTCACCCCCAGCCACACGGACACACAGCAGCCTGTGAAGGTGGCAACTTCTGTCTGACCCTGCAATAAAGGCTGGTTAGACTCTGCTCTCCCCATCCAGGGTGATGGGACCTGCAGGTCTGGCCCACCAGGATGCAGCTCCCCCAGGACACCAATCTTCTGGGAAGTGGTGGACCTTGCTGCAATGAAAGGTGTCCTCAGGGAGTTGGCTTATTATGACTTTTCCTCCTTTAATCACTTTGTTATGTTATCCATGGGTTTAGGTGGTGCTGAACAAGCCCCACTGACTTTGGGCTCCTCCTTGGGATCTCCTATAGATGGAGCATCTTCAGCTTCAACAGAAATACCAATAAAACAATTGCAAGGCATCAAGGCAAGCTTGCAGCACTCTGCACCACAGCCCATGGTCTTGTCACCCATCCCAGGGACAGCTCTGATCTGTTTTTGTGTTCTCTCCACAGGGGGATGTGGTTTGTACATGACTGTCCATGCTGTGGAAAAAGACATCTCCATCTATTTTATGTGGGACTTCCTTCCAAGACTGAGCGATAATGTTCTGCCAACTTCTTTGCCAAGATGTTTGGCTGAGAGACTAAAATGAGCCAGATACCAATCTCCAGCTGGGATTCTCCAGTTCCCAGGAGTTCAGGCATAAGCTTACTTACATGAACAATGAGATAATGTTACTTTGAAGCTCTCTGTCCCACCAATCCATGTGAAAGTCAACTCATTTCTCTAGGAATGATGCTGCCTCAGGCAAAGCCTGTATGACTCAGAAGGAAAAAGTATTAAAGTCTTATTAATTCCCCAACCCTGTTTACATCTGATCCTCTGTACTGAGTGTCAGGACCTCTCTGAGCACTCAAGCAGCAGAGTTTCAGGACTTGGGAACAATACCATGTAATTTATGATTGCTTCCTGCCCAGTGTCTGGTCAGCACAGAACAGAACTCGAATCTCAAATCTCAGGGAGCACTCTGGCAACCTGCCTGCCTCTGCCAAGAGAAAACCAGGCCTGCAGCAGCTCCTCTAACTGCACACAGAGACCTGACAGCAAAGGTGCAGGTAATAAAAGATGAGCTCAGGACAAAGTCTCCCACACCACCTGCTTCCTTTTTGCTCCACTTCCCAGGAAAGGCTTTGAACCACATGTGGAAAATGGGGAAACCCAGTGGTTTAAAAACATCCTGGATCTAGAAATACTGTCACGTAAAGAAAGAAAGGAAAAAATTCCAGGAAGCTGATGTAGTTGTTGACAGGCTTGGGTGGGGGGGGAAGGGAGGATGATGCAAATAACTCCCTGCATGTTATATGCACGTACTGAGGTGTAAAAATTATTCCTTAGGCCAACTCTCAAGGCTTGCAGACAGCCAGGATCCAGGTGCAGCGCTGCTGGGACACAAGTGTGGCTGCACAGGTGCTGAGCCTCTTTGCCTGAGCCTGAACACTCTGCCTGGCACTTGGACATGCCACTGTGAGCCCAGTGTGTCCCTTGCTGACAACAACATTCCCCCTCCTCGGCTGGGATTCTGACACTTTCCTCCTTCTGCGGGTTTAGAAATGGGAGAACTTGTTTCACCTCTGTGCAGCAGGATTTTCAGGTCTGATGGTGCTGGAGGAAGCTGGTGGGTAGAGCAGGGATAGCAGTGTGGAAAAGGGGTTGTGACATTCAGGATGAATGTTCCTGTTTACAAGTGCTTGTGGTGCCTTTGAAGACACCCTAAGGAGCACGCAGGCCTCCTCTCTGAACAAAAAAAGTGACACTGGGGAAGGTGCTGCCACCTCAGAGCCACTCCTTAAACCCTAATGTGTCAAAAACAAGTGTCAGTGCTTGCAACAAATATTTATACACTAAAAATGAGCAAACACAAGCTGGTGTGAAATCCCTGATCACCATGCTGGGCTGTCAGCAGTCTGGACCACATTAATGAAGCTGTGCTGGAGCCGAAGCACAAGGACGTGTGGATGGGAGCCAGAGGAGAAGCTGCAGGAACACCTGGAACTCCTCACCCTGCACTGACCCTGGGATATTTCCCACCTCTAGACTGGGAAAAAAAAATAAATCCTGTTGTCCTTTGCGAATAGTTTCTGCACACAGTGTGATCTGTTCTCTGTTATGCAAGATGTGAAGTTCTCATCTGGCCAGAAGAATGGTTAGCATTAAGCATTTAAAGCTTTTTTTTTTTTTCCCTTTTGCAGTTATGTACTGAGTCAGCACAAACAGGGCAGTGACAAGAGAAAGCATTCGGAATTCTGAACCAGCTCAGCTCTGGATGGATTGAAGAAAACAAAATGTTCTTGCACACTGGTGCTAATGAAGCCTGGTTTGCGATGGCCTCGTGTGTCGTGCTTGATTGATTTTAAACTGTATTATGCAAAGCATTTGCTCTGCTTGTGAGGCGCTGGAGAGCCCACACATGGCTGTGGAGTGAATCAGGAGGTGAGGGAAAGAACAAGGCAGGTCCTGGGTGAACATCCCCTGGATGTCTCCCAGGGGAACTGGCTGGGGTGATGAAAGATGCTGCACTCCTCACCTGACAGCAGCTGCCCCTGGCAAAGGGCTGCTGCTCCCAGGCTGAGCCACACAAACAGCTAATTGTGCACTTTGCTGCAACGCTGGCTGTGGTAGCTAAAATCACCCTCATTTCATGGCTCACGAGCCAGGAACGTGCCCTTCTTGAGGGGTAAACTGGAGGCAAAACTGGTGAGGCCTCCCTGGTGGCAATTATTTTTTTAGTCAATAGGCAGGTTTTGATGGAAAAACGAGCCATGGTGAGAGCTAAACCATGAAAGGAGAGTGTCTGGTGTGAATGAGCTTTGTCCACCTGAGAAACACCCATGTGAGAGCTGCTGGGGGAAGGGATGTGCAAGGTCCTCTGAGACAGGGGGGTGGGAGGGGGGAACTAAAGAATGACCCTGCAGATGGGGACATGGAAAATTCCTCTGCTGGGCAGAGTCCCAGACAGACTCCAATGCTCCCAGGGTGACCACTGTCCTTAATGCTATGCTCAGCTTTTCAGGGCAATGTTACCAAATGTCACCTGAGATTTCTCCAGTTTGGAGGGATCTCTTAAAAAGATAACGGAGAAAGCAATAAAGTCTATCAAGCCCACATAAAGTGCTTGGTTGTTGAGCTTTTAAAACCATTCATGAGCTCTTTAATATAATTGCAATAGATTTGGAAACAAAACCTGCTCCACAGCCCAAACCTCCATCAGCCACTCCCTCAGTGCCTCAGTGGGGCATGGGTTTCACCAGCACTGAGGTCCTGCTGGTGATCTCTCTCCCTGAGCAGCCCTGCCAGTGTGTGCATGGGTTTGGATTGTTTTTGGGGACACACAAATGAGCCCTTGGGGAATGTGCATCATCCTTATATAAATTGTGATCTACTAAGCTCCAGAGCTGCCAGATTTCAGTTGTTTTTCTCGGCACCTGCTGTGCAAGAGCTGCTGACTTTTTGCTGTATGCTGAGGGGATGCATCTCCCTTGTGAAACCGAGCCCATCCTGGGGGTCTGTGAGTGGGGATTGTCCACATACAAGGTCTGAATTTATTCAGTTCTGGGCAAATAGAGCATCTGAGGGGGGTGCAGTTTCCCGTGTACTTTGGAGAGTGCTCCTTTGTCCCCAAACACGATGGGTTTGCATGGAGGGTAATGCAAAGAGGCATCTGGGGCAACCCAGCCTCACCAGCCTGCCCTGCTCCGGAGCACCACAGCCAGCACTCGACTCGCACTCTGGAGAGCCTCAGACAGCTGAGGCACCCCAGGTATCCCGTGCCACCCTCTCTGGAGCATCCCACCCTTCTGTCCATCACAGAGCACATTGTGTCCCCCAGGCCTTGCACCCCGGCCCTGCTCCACAGCACCCCGGATACCCCAGGCAGCACCGTGGGCGGCTCCAAATTATCCTGGTCCCACTCTGGGGCACCCCGAAACACCCCCAGCATTCTGCATCTTGGTCCTGCTTCAGGGTGCTCCGGACCCCCTGGCACCCCGTGCCCATGTGCTGCAGAGCTCTCCTCCGCCCGGCGCACGGCTTCAGAGCCGGTGTGCGCTGCCCCGGAGCGCCGCAACATCCCCGGCTGCGGGAGGATCGGCAGCGGAGNTGGGGCTGCGGGTGGTGCCGCGGGGGGCGAGGGGCCAGCCCAGCAGGCCGAGAGACGGGGATGCACGGGATGCCGGGCTGTTGCGGCAGGTGAGTAGCGATGTGGGTGCCAATGTAGGTCACCGCGTCCCTGCAGCTCAGGGCGCTCCAAGCCTGCACGGTCCGGAGCTGGAAAACGTGGGAAGCTGGAAGTGGTGTAAAGCAGGGCTGGTGGGGATGGGGATGGGAAGGGAGAAGGCAGCTGCTGGGCATTTCTGCCATATCCGTGGAGATGCCGAGGTGCTGGGAGCTGCCCGGGCCCGCCGCCGGTGTCCCATGGGCCACGAGCTGGCACAGGAGGGGACAGGGCAGCGCACAGTCAGTCCCGTCTGCCAGCCCGGCAGCGTTGCAGGGTCGGGAGAAGAGCTCTGCCCAGGGGGCGGCTGTTATGTAAAAGTGGCTGGGACTTGTCCAGTCGGGGATGGACACGTCCTCTCCCCCAGGGCCAGAGCCTGGCGAGGACACAGCCTTGGCCGAGCTCCTGTGGCAGCCCCACCGTGCGGGTCAGCGCCCGGCCCGGCTCCTTCTGCAGCCGCCTCTGGCCAGACATCTCCCTGCAGGGCCGGGATCCGGGGGGTAGGGTTTGATCTGCTTTCATGTGTGGCTGTAAGTGGATTTCTTGGAAAGTAATACTTAAATAAAAGGGGTTATACAATGCGTCTGGAGCAGGGGGTTGGGGAGACGGAGGCAGAATTTCCTTTCTCCGCGGCGTTTCTATGACAGCACTGAGCTCTCCTCCCGCAGCGCAGGCTCTTATTCATCGCCTGCTGCGAGGCAAGTGCCAGAGGTTCAGGGTAAGCCTGGAAACGAAGGGCTGAGCGAACCGGTCCATCCTGGTGTTGGCAGCAGAAAACAGGTCCTTTTATGCAACCTCCAGAGGCATCCGTCTCTCCCTGCACACCCTTCTTCAGAGCAAAGGCACACGCACACTTCTCTAGTGCTCATTTGCCAGGCTTTTTGCCTGATTGGGGTGTACAATTACACATTCATTTAAAAACCCTTTGTTAGTATAAAGAGGAAACATTGCAAACTGTGTCCTCACTCTTCCCTGCACGTTCTGTTCCCCGAAAGACAGGAAAGTCTGGCTGAGGGCAACAAGGAAATTGCAGTCCCAGCCCCAGCTCCAGTGAATCTGTGCTTGCTGGGGCTGCCAGGCTCAGCCACGTGGGTGGTGCTTTCAGGATGTGTTTTCCAACTCCTGCAGCCAGCTTTCAGCTGCACAGTTTTTTACCGGCTGCCTTTCACTTTGAAACGGAACCACTGATAAATGTTTGACCCATGGGGATGTTTTATTTGTGCTTCAGAGTGGTGTGATAGGCCAGTTTGCGGTGCCCAGCTCAGCCCCCACTGTAGAGCAGCTCCCTTTGCTTGGGTGGAAAGAAACTGTAAACTTTTTATCTTCATTCTTTCTGAGTGAACAACAGAAAAATGTGCTGTAATGCGTAGCACAGGAGGCCCTCTGACATGCCTGGAGCGTGGAGGCTGGCGAGTCTCTGAGGCTGCCAGCTGGCTGATGGCCCTGGTGTGTAATGATATCATAGATAAAAAATAGCTGCAGCAGCAGGGAAATGCAGAATTCATTGCTCTGTTTTACACATCTGGGGTGGGGTTTTTTTTTTTGCCAAATCAGTCACTTTATTGCTGGGCTGTGCGAATGTTTGAATGGGTTTGCCCACATGGAAAATAAGACTCTATACTTTGTAGCTATTTGTACATCCCTTCTCCTTGTAAGGGCTGGGATATTTAATCTCTGGATGGGTGCTTGTGGGATGGGGCAGCAAGTTGCCATGCTTCCCGACTTCAGCTCTAATATTGGCTGATATTATAAAGGAGAACAAACTCCCAGGGAGCAGGTGTTGATCTGCAGCACTGCTCAGCATGGCCAGTGCAGCTTTTGTTGCAGGAGTGGCCATGCTGAGCGGTGCAGCAGAGCAACACCTGCTCCCTGGGAGTTTGTTCTCCTTTATAATACCAGCTCTGGTGCAGGAGTGGCTGTGCCTGGCGATGCTGCCCTCTGGGTTAGGGTGACATCAGGCAGGGAGCAAAGTCTTGCTGTGCTCTGTGCTGAGCACAGGGACGAGGAGGCCACAGCCATGGCAGAGTTGATCTCCTGTGTGATAAGAAGTGGTGGGTGCCTGGGCAGGGTGACAGCAGAGGCAGGCAGGGAAATGGGCAGATGCTCCCTGCACCCGCCTGTCATGGAGCTGCCGGTCCTGACCTGCAGGTTGCTGGCAGAGCTGCATCAGCACCGTGTTTGAACCGGGCCAGGAGGAAATGCTGCTGGCTTTGGAAGTGCAGGAGAGACATCATTAACAGTGATGTTTCCTGATGACTGCTGATCAGCTGCCAGCCAGGCCCATGGACCCAGCTTGCCCCTGACAGAGCTCCTGGCCCTTCAGCAAGGTGAGGTTGCCCACAGCAAATGCAGCAGCAGTGTCTGAAAATGGTGCCTTAATTTATGATACAAGGCTGGCCTCAATGCCAGTATCCTGCAGGGCCACCACGTGTAACCTGTGCTGGATCTACCATCATCCCACAGAGAGCTGGGATCCAATGGGAGGACCTGCATGACGCTGGAGGCCTCCCCAAATGGACCAGGGAGCAACAAGTCCCCAACCCTCAGCAGCTTTGAGCTGATGCCCAGAGCTGAGAGGATGCAGGGCTAGATGCACAGACCTGTTACCTGAGCTGGAGCACCAGCACTGCACTGGATGTAGGTCACCTCCATGAGCTGTGATATAACGGGGTGGATCTGGGCATCTCTGTATTTCAAACCTACAAACATTACCACACCTGGTTACTCCACTAGTGTGGGCTCTTCCTGATAGGAAGAAAGCTCTTTATGTGGTTTTCCACAGGAAAGAAGAGGATCTCACTGCCAATTTTTTAGGAAAAGGCAGGAGCATGTAATGCTTGGTGTCATGATTAGCAAAGTCTGTGAGACCTGTGCCCCCCCAGCACCCTGATGTCCCATCAGTGACATGTTGCTGACGAGGAGCTGGATCCTCAGTTCTCTTCCTCAGTTTTGGGAAATCTCAGCCTTTTTTTATACTTGGAAACCCCAAGTCATGTGGTGCAGGCAGATTCTTGCCTTGGTTTCTCATCTGCCCCAGGAGAGCAGTGACAGCCAGGTGGGTCTGGGAATTCAGGTATCCAGCACTGCAGTCCCGTTTGGTAACGTGTTATTGTGACTCTGCTGGGTGAGTCACTCCACAGAGCCTGCTGTGGCCACAGCCCTGTAAGGACTACGTGTATGGTAGAGCCTTTCTGCTGCATCCCAAAGAGATGGATGAAAGCCCAGATCCCAGCATGGCTGAGCCCTGAGGCAGTGGTGGGGCCTCTTGGCTGAGGGTGTTTAGGGAAGATGGGTGAAAAAAAAACAAAGGAAAGAGCCTCAAACGATTTAAAACTGAGTATTTAGGGGAAATAACTTCCTTGCAGAGGCTTACAAAGCCAGTGTGTCCTGATGAAGAGCACTGAAGGACCAGGCTGTGCTCAGTGTGAGGCAGTGGCACAGGGACTGTCCCACTGTGGTGGCCTCTCCCCAGCCTCATCCAGCCCCACTGCCTCACCTCATCTCAGGGCTCTGAGATGCCCTGAGATGAGGGCTCATCTCAGGGGTGCCCACATTTCTCTTTCCAGCCCTGGACTCCAGCTCCCTGCGGCTGTGCCGGGCAGAGGCCTTGCTGGCCCTGGGGCAGTATCCACAGGCACTGGAGGACCTGGATGCCGTGTGCAGGGCTGAGCCTGGAGAGCACGAGGTGAGTGAAGGCCACATCGACTGGAACCAAAACTTACTGCACAGGAGCAATTTCCCCCTCTCCTTGAGTCTCCATCCTGCTCAGAATTGCACTTGACAGACCCATTGTGTTGCTAATCAAAGTGGCAGGTGCTGTGTTGCTCTCACAGGAGAAGTCTGGCACCATGTCCATCTTTTACTCCTTCCTCAACTCTCCCTAGGCTTGGCTTTTGCAATTGCTGCGCTTTGGAGAGTCCTGGCTTTTTTAGGCAGATCTAATCAGGGGAGCAGTGACATGTCTGGGTGCTTTGGCTTGGCGTGGGAGCAGGCAGGAGGCAAAGGGACATTCCCTTGGGGCTGGCAGAGGAGCTGAAGGGGCACACACTCAGCTGGTCACTGTCTCATAGTCACCACATGTTTATTCTGCTCTGCAGGCCTTCTTCAGGAAAGGGAAGGTGCTCCTGGAGATGGGGCAGAGAGCCGAAGCCCTGCTGGCGTGGGAACACTGCCTGACGCTCAGTCCCCATTTCCAGCCAGCTCGGAGGGAGATGGAGAAGGTGGGTGGGCTCTGCCATGTTCCTGTGCTCTCATCACACAGGGGGATGTCCTTGTCCTCTGAAGGACTCACAGAGTGCTCAGCCAGCACAGACATGTCCTGGGCAGAAGGGTGCTTTGGGGAAAAAGAGGGAGCCTGGCAGCCCTCTCACCTCCTTGCTTTTTCCTCCTAGCATCCCTTAACTCCTGCTTTGTCCTTGCAGATCGTCATGGAAGCCGATGCTCCTCAGCCATGCACGGCTGCACAGCTGGGTGATGCTCACCTGAGCTCAGCTGGTTCCCAGCCTGATGGAGGGAGCCCAGTGCTCCCATCTTCCACACAAGCTCAGGTAAGAGCCTGCAATATCTGAGTCTGCAAGGAGGTTTAATGTCCCTCTGGGACCTGCCTGTTGGGAATGGGGGTGTGATAAGGGAAGGTTGTGCAGGACATGCAGCCACGCTTACCTGGTTGTGTGCTGGGATGAAAATCTGCAGGTACCATCAGGGCTGATGCTGTGGGGACTTGGGAAACAGAGGAGACTTTCTCCTTCTGTTCATCTCACTACATTCAGGGGGGAAAAAAAATCTTAAACTTTTTTTTCATCTAAAAACCACATTTGAGAATAGTTCAGACCATTAGCAGTTGATAAGGGAAGCTTGTATTTTCTTCTTTGCCTTCTATAAACAAACTTAGAAGGTTTGGAGAGAAGAGGGAATTCAGAAGATGGGCTCAGATACACCTAAAGAGCAGATGGTATGTTTGGCCAGAGTGAACCCATGTTTTAACATGTGATGGGCAGCAATGTCTGAAGGCCATGCTCTTGCTGTCCTGCAGATGTCAGCTGTTAATGTACACGGGGAGACCTCCTGGTGCCATCGGGCTTGGTGGCACAGATGGGACTGTGCATTCAGAGGGAGAAGAGGGTTTGGGCTCAATTTCATCTTGCTGTGCCTAGGATCAGGAGGGAGAGCTGGCAGATGGCCAAGGGGATGTTGGGTCTGAGCACAGCCAGGGCACAGCCACCCTTTCCCAGCCGGGACAACGGCAAGAACCGGAGACTTTGGCAGAGAGTCAGGGCCGGTGGTTGTTGGGTGAGTGTCATCAAAGGTACCACAAATGTTTTCAATGAGGTTGTGTCATGCAAAATACTTGTTTGAAATCCATTTTGGCCACTGAAAACTTGGTGTTTGCACTGTGTCCAGCTCAACAAACAAATATCCCAGGGGCATGTGATGGGGCAGCTCTGGCCAGGACATTTGCTGCTTCTCATGCACATGAGGAGGATCCACCTGATCTTCCTGTGTTGAGCTGGTGAACTTACACCAAACCTTTGGCTCCAGCTTGGTGATAAGCTCTTGCTGAAGCCAGTCATCACTTGCTCCCCATGTGGAGTCAGGGAGAAGCTTTCTTTGGTTCCCATGGGTTTAGGTGGGTTTTGGTTTAAATTTCCATGTGGGGGACAGGACATGCCATGAGCTGGGGAAGCAGCACCTCCATCAGCATTAACTTGCCATCCAGCCAGGTGGCTGCCACATACCTGGGTTTGCATAAAGCAGTGATGGCTCATGGCAGGTCTCCAGAGACTTCCATCCTGGAGCTTTTGGGCCACTTTGCTGCCCAGTGCCTCAGTTTCCCTGCCTCTAAAAGGAGGAGGTACCACCTTCCTCTGCCAAGCATCATGAGACCCACTGACACACCAGCTATGGATGAACATGGATGGATTAATAGAGGGGTTTATGTTGCATTTCTTAGTGGTTTTGTTTTCCTTTGACACTTTGAAAGCACTTTGTGGGGCAGTTATGTCTCAGAACGAGGTCAGAAAGCAAAGATTAATTTTCTATATTAAAATTTGATTTGTCTTCTCTTCTGCCACTATAGATAAAGAGGAAGAAACAGCAGCAGCAAAGTGTACCCAGCCATGCCTCAGGGAGTCACTGAGCATATCTGACTTGGAGTGCTCCCTCTGCATACGGTGAGTTCTCCAACAGGAGAGTTTTTAGGATGAAAAATTAGAACCTGCTGGGTTTTCTTCAGTGGTGTGCGCCTTTCTACACATCTTAACAGCAAGCTCAGTCCTGAGTACTGCTGAGATGTAGGTTTTGGTAGAGATAAGAGGGAAAGGCAGGGGCATGGAGCTCCTGCAGGAGCACAGATCACCCTGTCTCAGGGTGCAGCATCACTGGGGCTGTCCCCAGGGACACAGCTGTGGAGGTGGGGATGTTCAGTGGGGGTCAAAGACCAAAAGTAGTGGTTGCCCTTTGTACCTGCAGGCTGGGGCAGGAAGGTGTTGCCCAGGGAAATTCCCTCCATGATCGGGATATTGCAGACCTAGAGGGAACATTTCTGAGCTCTTTTCCTGGTGCAGGTGGAGAAGGGAATGGGGTAGAGCCTGTATTTGTCTGCCAGCTCAGGGCTGGGGAGGGGCTGGTGTTGCAGTGCCACAGGGCATGCTGAAACAGGGCTGTTATTGCTGGTGTGTCCCAGGACATGGAGCAGTTGTGCAAGTGGCTGCTGGCAGAGAGCTGGGTGGGTGTTGCACTGCCAGATGTGCAAGTCACTCAAGGTCCTGCACGACAGCTTTTTCCAGGTCTGTGCACGGGGGAGAGAGACTGAGGCTGCATCTGATCTGAATTATGTGAATTTGGGTCTCTTCTGAAAGAAGAAAACCATGTTTAGGACGAGTCAGGGCTTTCTTGAGACCTTAATTTCATTTCTGGTCCTGGAGCTACCTGTGAGCAATTTGAGTGCTTGCTGCTGGCTCTGCTCCTGGAGCAGGGGAAAAGGAAGCACTTTCCTTTGGGTTACACACCACTGGGGGTGTCTGGGGAACCACAGCCCTGGCAGGACCAAGGGGTGCCATGTGTGTACTGATGGGGTCTGCTGGGATTCCATGGACACCCTGCAGAGAGGGGGAGCAGAGCTCAGGCCTGGAACAGTTCTCATCTCATTATGCAAGCCCAGCAGTCTGAGCCCAGACTTTCTAATTAAAGGGCTAATTAAAGTCTCTCTCTGGCAGACTTATCTGTGCTCCTTTCCCTTTGCTGCTCTCTGCAATCCATTGACTCTGATCATCCTTTGCAGGATGTTTTTTGAGCCGGTGACGACGCCCTGTGGTCACACCTTCTGCAAAGAGTGCCTCGAACGCTGCCTGGACCACCGGCCCAACTGCCCCCTCTGCAAGCAGAGCCTGAGAGAGGTGAGGGCACGAGTCCCACGGGATGGAGCCTGAGGGAGAGCTGGGAGGCAGCTCCAGCTGCTGGCTGCCTGCCCAGGGCTGGGGTGGGAAGGTGCAGTGCTCTTACATTAGCAGCTCCCTGGCACGGCGATGTCAGCTCCACTCACATGGGAATGACCAGACAGTTGATAATTAAGACCAAGAGATTAATTTCCACAAGATGCCACAGTGATTTAGTGAGATTGTAAACAGGAGAAGAGAGAGAGAGAGAGAGAGAGAAGCAAATGCTAATTGCTTTAAAAAATGGAAATGGATGGAAAACCTGCTAGCCTGGAGATTTGATTTAATCTTTAATGAAAAGGGATTCAGATGAGACCATCAGGGAAATTAGGTTGTCATACAAGGACTGCATCACTGTCAGAGACAGGACGCTGTGTTGGACGGGCCCTGGCTCTGAGCTGTGTCTGGAGGTCTCGGTGGAGCTGACATCCCATCCTGCTCAATGGCTCAACATCTCCCAATAGATTTTATCCTTGACTTTCTCTGGTCTAAAATTACCTTCAGTTCCAATAAAAGTGAGCGTGATTCAGAGTCCAGCAGGGATCCAGGGCTTCCTCCCTGCTCTTCTCCAACCTATTTTTGTGTCTAATTCCTTTCAGTACCTGAAGGCTGGGAGGTACAGCCCCACGGTGCTGCTGCAGGACATCATGCTGGCCACCTTCCCCACACAGCTGGCTGAGCGCCGGGAGCTGCACCGGGCAGAGATGGCAGAGCTCTCCAAGTAAGCAGGGACTGCTCCTGTGTGTGTGTGTGTGCACATGGGGATTGGGAGGCACTCTGAGAGGGCTGTCCACACCCCATACCATTGCTCTGGCTTAGTTCTGCTCAAATGATGTCTGTCCCACCTCCAGGACCACATTGCAGCAGTGCTGGATGGGTGTGGAATGCCCTATGGGGCACTTGGGGGTGAGGGACAGTCTTTGCAAGGAGCTGTTTTGTGGGCAGAATCTGTCTGTGGTCTCTTGGTGAGCCAAGTGGAACTTTAGTGTTGCTCTGCACTGGACATCACTTCTTGTGGTGAAGGACACCCCTGGTTTGGGAGAGCAGCTGATGCAGAGCCATTGGGATGGGATTTGCTTGGAGAGGCATCACAGTGGTTTCTCCTTCTGTCCCTCAGCCTGACCAAGAACATCCCCATCTTTGTGTGCACAATGTCCTTCCCTGGCATCCCCTGCCCTCTGCACATCTTCGAGCCTCGGTACCGCCTGATGATCCGGCGGTGCCAGGAGAGCGGCACCAGGAGGTTTGGCATGTGCATATTTGAGAATGGGAAAAGGTGAGCTCCTGGGCTCCTGCCCCAGCTGATTTGCCCCTCTCTGCCTCAGCCTCAAATATCTAAAATATTGAGTAAGTCAGAGAGATTTCCTGTCAGTGCCATCTCGCAGATGAAATCAGCAGGGAGGTGGTGCATTCCCCACACTGCAGAGTGAAATGGGATCAAGGAATGAGGTGGCTGTTAAATACAACATTCTTGAACAGCTTCTGACTCAGGATGTCTCTGAGCTCCATGGTTCTCTGGCTGTGACCTCCAGCTCCTCTTAATGAGCACCGTGGGGAGACCTGCTTGAATCTCTGAATTTGCCCCTGCCCAGACATCTTGTTCCTGGGCCTTTTCCTGCTTTGGAGATGGTATCTTTAGGAGAAGCAGCTCTCTTGCCACCCATTACCCCAGCTCAGCCCCTGTTTTCTGTGTCCCTGCAGCTTTGCTGACTATGGCTGCATGCTGGAGATCCGTCAGGTGGAGCTGCTGGCGGACGGGCGCTCCTTGGTGGACACCATCGGCCGGCAGCGGTTCCGGGTGCTGAGCCGCGGGCACAGGGACGGCTACCACACCGCTGACATCGAGTACCTGGAGGACAGGAAGGTGAGGGCAGGGCTGGGCAAAATCCTGGGCTGCAGTGGGGCAGATCCTCCCCACGGACACCTGTGTCCCTCTCGCCTCCGTTCAGGTGTCTGGGGAGGAGCTGCAGGAGCTGCAGTGCCTGCACGAGAGCACCTATCGCCTGGCCCAGCGGTTCTGTGAGCACGGAGACCTCACCTCCAGGCACATTCTGATGCAGCATGGATCGCTGCCAGAGAAGGAAGAGGACATCCAGGTAATGCCCAGAGGGAAGGGATGCACCAAACAGAGTACCAAGAGAGCCTCTGAGCAGCGCTGTTCCTGCACTAACCACCCTGCTTCCCTACTCAGCTTCTCCCCAGAATGAACAAAACAAATCCAGTTTTTCATCCCTGTTACGGCATCTCATTCAGAGAGTTGGTAGGGCTTGTAAAGCTGCATGATGTTTCTTTATGGTTTTAAACTGGAAACTGAGCACTGAGTTCTAAAATCTTTCCCAGGGTCTTTTTCTAAATGAGAACTCAGAAACTGAACTGTGTGTGTTTGAAAACACTTTGGGAAAAAGAAACCAAACAAATTGGTAAAGAGGCAAGCTCTGCCCCTGCAGCTTGTTGAGTCTGCAGTCTCCTTTCTCACTGTGATCCTTTGAGACAGCCAGAGCTGGGCAGAGGTGAAGAGCTAAGAGGACAGGATTCAATTTGCTCAATTATACTGCTCTGACAAATTCAGATTCTGTAGGAGAAAAAAAATCTCAAAATCTAATTTTCACTCCTTTAAGAAAGTGTTTCCTGTCTGGATCATTACAAATATACTCTTGCTGGCTTGTCCCAGGCTAATGCTGTCCTGGCCAGCAGTCATGTTAATGATGTGCTCAGGAATTACAAAACACTCAGCCTCCTTCAGCTGAACCAAGGTTTTCCTTCTTAGTTTGCCTCAGGTTATAAAACACCCACTTTACAAAAGCAGTGCCCAACAGCTTCGCCCTCCTGGCCTGCACCTCACCTCTTCAACTGATGGCCAGTGTTCCAAAAACATTGGCCATGCAGGATTTTGCCTGTGTTTACAAAAAGCACCGGCTTAAACAAGGAAATGCATGAGATATTTCATTGTCTCTTTAGTATAGACTTTTTACCAGCTACATCTGTGTCTGGAGGCTCCCTGGGGAATGCTTGCCTGGAAATTAAATTAGTTTGTCCAGCAGTTTTGAGCTTGGATGACGAAAGGGCTGTTCAGATGAGTACCTTGGCCAAGGCTGGCGTTGCTGTCCTGACAGGAGTTTCCCATCGGCGATGCTGCCTGCAGGGCACCCCTGCCCTGACGTGGGGGTCTCTCCCTCTCTCCTCTCCAGGCTTCAGCAGACGGCCCGACGTGGTGCTGGTGGCTCATCTCCATCCTGCCCCTGGACCCATCCTACCAGCTGAACCTGTTCTCCTGCACATCGCTGCGCGCCCGCCTGTCGCAGCTGCAGCACATCCTCACGGCCCTGCTGCAGCAGCCCCCTCCCCACCACCTCCGGCACCCCCGGGGCCGCGTCTGAGCCCGCTCTGCCCTCCCTCGGGCTCCCCTCCACCCTCGGCTTTCTCTGTGCGTTGCTTCCACGGTTTGTGTGTGGTTTGAGCCGCCCCAAGCCCCAGAAACGTGACCTCAGCGATGAGCTGGGCGCGCTGTGCCCGGCTGTGCCGTCCGTGCCACCTCCGTGAGCTGCCTGGTGCCACTGCTGTGCCACCAAAGGGGATAGTGGCACGCAGAGCTGGCTTGTGTCTCCAGAGCCAAAATCGCTTGCTGAGTGGCTTCTGTGCTGAGGAGGGTTCTCTTTAGGGAGAGGACTGAGTGCAGGGATTGCCTCCGTTTTGGTTCTTCCACTTCGAAGGATAATTTAGTAGATAATTTGGTAGATGATCCTGATTCATGCAGGAAATTTAGAAGCTGGGGAGAGGTGGCACTGGGGAAACAGAGAAATTCCAGTGGTGTCCCCCAGCCTTGGGATCTGATTGCTCTGCCACTGCTTACAACTTTGACTTAGTTTGTGTTTGAGCAAGAGGAAAGGTTAAATTAAACAATCTGAAACTCATGGTCTTGCTCCTAACCACCTCCATGGCCACGTGGTGAGGAGATGGTTCTCTTTGAATGCTCTCAGGTCCAGACATCCCCTGGACACTGCCACCAGCCACTCCCCTCACTGCAGGCTCCAGTGCTCTGAAGAGGGCATTTTGACAGCTTTGGTGCTTTTCCCCCTACTGTTGCTGACCCTGGCTGGGTTCAGGTGAAAGGGTTGGATCTGGGGGCTGGGAGGAGCTGACAGCACAAGGGAAGTTTAATCTGGAAGTTTTGTTGTGTGACTTTCTGCTCCTTGACTAATGGAATTTCCCCCTGTTCTGTGTTTCTTGTGGACTTTCTGCCTTCTCAGGAGAAATCAGGATCTCAGCTGAGGCTGAGCCCTTGCACTTGGGACCCAGAATAGTTCAGGATCCCCAAAAAAGCACAGTGAAGTCAAGGGGATCCAGGGGGAGTCAGTGCTTGTCTCTAGACACAGGGCAAAGACTCTCTGGAAAGACCAGGCCTCCATGGAAATCCTGAAGATTTGGGATTTTTGTCTTTCATCCATAATTTCAGTGGCTTTGGGTTCAATTCTAGGAGTAACATCCACTTAGTTATTGGATTAACATTGCTTCTGGAATTTTATCCCTGCATTTCTCAAAGGCATCACACGCCCTCAGAGAGCTGTTGGATGTGTGTGTGTGACAGAAAATCAGGACAGTGATCCTTACTGCAGGTATTGCTGGGCTGAGCCTGGGGTGGGAGGCTGGGTATAGCTCCAGAGAGGTCCCTGCTCAGGGCCACCACCTTTCCCTGCCCTTGTGTCTCCAGGAGTGAGAAGTCCCTGTCCCTCCTGTCCATCAAAGTGCCTCCCTGGAGTGACAGTCAGGAACTGAGGGCTTGCTCCCCAGGAACCTCTGTGAGCACAGGGCAGCTCAGAGCTGGATTTGCTGCTCGACCTTTGAGCTGTGGTGCTGGCCCAGGAGCACCACAACTCCCAAGGAACCACATCCCTGGGATGTCACACTGGCATGGGCTGGGGTAGGTGATGAAGGGATACTTTGCAGTCCCAGGGCAGGATGACACTAAAGTTCAGGAAGTGCCTTTCTTTTCCCCAGGGCCAGTGTGGGCTCACCCAGTGACATCCCCACCCCAAGCCACTCACCTACCTCCTGAGCTGCCATTTCCTCAGGGTTGAGAGGTCCCTATGGGTCCCTCCAGCAAGGGTTTGGCATGGGGGGCGTGCAGGGAGAAGTGTGGCTCTGCACCCTGTCACACTGGGGAGGAGCCAGGGACCAGAGCCACCTCAGCCTGGCTGCTTTGGGAAGGGATCTGTGCAAATTGCTCCAGTTTGCTTGGAGCACCTTTGTGGTTTTTATTACTATCTTTGCTCTTGGAATTACATTTTCTTTCAGGTCATTGAAATAAAGACCTTTGTTGTTGTTGTTCTCTTGCTGGTGTTTAACTTTTATCTGCTCATTAATAAAAGTGCTTGGGCATCCCTAGGGAGATCTGGGGACATGTGGAGAGGTGACACCCTGGCCTTCAGACAGCAAGCTAGGCACAGTGATCACAGTCCAGCAACTGCAGATGGCAACAAGGGGAAGAAAAAAAGTGGTTTTGCTTGCAGAATGTGTGTGGAACAAGACAGGAGGAATGAGCTCCTGCCTGTCATTGCAGCTAAAGGCTGTGGGCAAGGATGGGATGGGAGATCAGTCCAGTAGAGATGCTGACCAGTGTGGGATGACCCTGGAGGCAATGTCCCCAAATGCTGTGGCTAGCATTTGTCCCTGTCCTGCCTTTGCAGCCATGGGCAGAGGCCTGGGAGCTGGGAGTAGGTTAGCTTTTGGCATCAGGGATGGGAGATGATCCAGGGAGATGTGCATGGGCTGCATGAGAGGGTGGTCCTGGATGGAAGGTGATGTCCTCCTGGGACAGCTCTCACCTGTCTCTTGCTCCCATCTCACCTCTTCCCTCTGCTTCCCAAAGGTGCCATCCAAAATCAAGGACAAGAAGGGAACTGCCCAGCTGTGCTGTGCACCTTTCCTGGGGACATGGAACAGCTGCAGCAAGAGAGGGAGAGGGCTCAAGAGGTCTGAGATGGCAGATAATCCTAAACAGATCCCATGCCTCAGAGCAGTATCCCTGCTAACCCATTAATAACTGTTTCCATGAGGAATTATACCTTGAATTCCCCCCCAGCAATGCTCTACAGAAGCAGCTGTGCCCTGATGAAGCCCAGCTGTGAGCTATGGCTGGTGCCAGCTCTTTTGGTGGCTCTGGCAGCCCAGGCCTTGTGCCCAACCTGTGGCTGGCGTGTGCCCGGGAGCCTGGAGCTGACAAGGATCCCTTTGCCGTGTTGCCCTGCTCCCACTAGGTGTCAGGAAGAGGCTGAGTGTGGGCGAGGAGGAAGGCACGGAAGGGATGTGCAGCATCAGCTGTTGCCAGAGCCTTGGCTTTTCTCTCCCTCAGCCCCACCATCAGCCCTACTCCCAGCCCTGGCCCCCGGCAGGCTGTGCTCTCCATCAGCACAGGAGGGCTGGGGACCTGTGCAGGTCACTTTGATCCACCTCCAGCTCCCCAGCCAGGTCTGTGCTGCAGGCTCCTCTCCCCACTCCAGCCAGTTTGCTCTCTTGGGACTGGAGCAGGGCACTGGGGCATTTGGGGGTGTCCTGCTCCCCATCATCAGTGCTCAGGCAGAAGGGGACCTGGGGGTGCTGGTGACAGCCAAACACGAGCCAGCAGTGTGCCCTGGTGGCCAAGAAGGCCAATGGTCCCTGGCCTGGATCAGGAATGGTGTGGCCAGCAGTAGGGAGCTCATTCTTCCCCTGTACTCAGCACTGCTGAGGCCACACCTGAGTGCTGTGTCCAGTTCTGGGCCCTCAGTTTGGGAAGGATGATGATATCCAGAGGGGGCAACAAGGCTGGTGAGGGGCTGGGAACACAAACCCTGTGAGGAACAGCTGAGGGAGCTGGGGTTGTTTAACCTGGAGAAAAGGATCTCCAGGCAGCAACTGACAGAACAGAGGACAGTCTCAAGCTGCACCAAAGGAAATATAGGTAGGATATCAGGAAAAAGTTCTTTATGGAAAGTGATAAAGTACTGGAATGGTCTGCCCAGGGAGGTGGTGGAGTCACCACTCCTGGATGTGTTTAAAAAAAGACTGGATGTGGCACTCAGTGCCATGGTTTTGTTGAGGTATTAGGGCTGGGTTGGACTCGATGACCTTGAAGGCCTTTTCCAACCCCGTGATTCTGTGATTCTGTGATTCTGTGATTCTGTGATTTTGTGATTCTGTGATTCTGTGATATTCCAGCCATCCTGCTGGGCACGGCCTCAGCTTGGAAGTGGGAGGTGAAGCAACCCCTTGTCCCAGCACACATCTGGCACAGAACAGCATTCCACAGCCCCTTCTGAAGGCAGCCCAGGCATCTCTCAGCCCACTGGCATGAGCAGCTGTTTCACTGAGCAGCTGGGATGGGTCAGCAAAGGCCTGGCAATTCCCATGCTGCCTCCCTCCCAGCCTTGCCACAGAAGTCTGTGTGGCAGAGGGGACTGCATGTGACAGCCTCAGCCCCAAACCAGCACCAGAGCCAGGGGCAGATGGGTCTGTCTCTGTGTGGGCTCCTGATGGCAGTCAGGGCCCAGGAGGAACCAGGCACCTGCAGCACAGGAGGTCCTGGCTGCCAGGCCACGGCGATTTACCTGCTACCTGAGGACCTGAATTCCTCCCCTGTGCATCCCAACAACATCTAGTAATGATTTCTGGACTTTATGTAATGCTACTCAGGGTTTTACAGGCAGGAAGTGGGGTGGGAAGAGGAAATGTGCTGCCCAGGGTCGCACAACGAGGTCCCTGGTAGTCACTCTGCAAATGGGCCCCCTACCCACCCCACCCAGCCTTCCTCTGTGGGTGATGGGATGTTCCTGCACCTGGTTTTCCATCTGTGGGGAGGTATAAAGCAATGCTAGCACTGGCTCTGCTTCCATCACCCCAAAATGTGACCTCCTCCCCAGCAGCATCATTTCCTGCCTTTCTGTTCAACACCTTCCCATGGAGACATGGGTGACAACTTCCCTCACCCAACAGTGTGGGCAAGCAATTAGATAAAGAGGTAAAAAATTAATACAGCAGGTGTCAGACTATGCCTCATCTTTCTTTAACAAATGGTGCATTTCCAAACTAATTAGACCAGCCGGTACTTGAGAGAGCAGAAAATCAACACAAGATTGTTCGAGCTAAAATGTTCTTCTCTAGCAATGCTACGTTCATGCTGGAAGAGGAGCACAGAACATGTTAAAGTTAATGAAGGTGGGAAGAAAAAGGAAAAAAAAACAGCACCTAATTTTTTCCACCCTTTAGCAATGCCAGTTGGTGCAATGAAAGATGGGTCATATTGTTCCTGCTTTTTCAGAAGAAAAAAAAAAAGCAAAGGAAAGCAATGAAGACAGATGTGCTGTCTCTTTCAAGAAACTCACCCACGGGATGTATTCAAAGCTGGAAAATGACAAGTGATGAAAAAAAGGTGACTGCTGGAGCAGTTGGAGTGGGACCTGCCTATTCACCTGGAGAAGCGGTAGAATCATAGAAACACTGAATATCCTGAGTTGGAAGGGACTCACAAGGAACACTGAGTCCAGCACCTGGCCCTGCACAGGACAACCCCAAAGATCACACCATGACAATGTTTGGGATCCTGTGATTGTGCTGTCCCTCCCTCTGGGCAGGCTGCACGAGGGGTGAAATCTCCTGTACGGAGCAGAGCGTGGTGATCACGGGCATGTGCTGAAGGTGACCCAGGGCAGAGATCAAGTGGCAGCTGGACAAATGCCTTTGTCTCCTGTGCAGAGCATTTTGGAGGTGCTGCTCTGGCATTCCCTGGCTGTGCTGCACATGGGAACTGTGCAAAGCCAAGCCCTGATCCCAGCAGGAGATCTGGGATGATGCATCAGGTGGGGCTGCCTGAACATGACGGATGGTAATTCACACAATTAGTATTCTGATTTACAAGGACAACCTTTCTGCAAAGGCT